ACGGGGTCTCGCTGCTCTTGGTCTGGCTGCTCCCCTTTGGCCTTCCTGGCATGGTTGAACCTTGTGGAACGAAGTTCCAGCCAGTGTAGCCCGCGGGATCATTGCAGCACTGAAGCCCGACCACCACGTCAAGGTGGCAGCTTTAGATCGGGTCACTACCATGACTGGTATGATCCAGACTACTATCGGTCGCAGAGGCGACTGGAATCCGACTGCTGGATCCACAACTTTGCGTGCAAAAGGAAAGGGAGGCTTCTGAACTTGAACTGGCCGGCGAATAATCCGATCCCACAAGCCTTCTGACATTGACATCACTTACCTGATTCCATGATCCATTGACCTGCCCCTCATTCAACCCCCCTTCCTTTGATTTCTATTTCTCTAAGGTGTATGTACTTCCAATTTTCAACCTCTTCCACGTGACTTCTGGTACCATATAGATTTGTGCTGTATAAGCCAAGAGGAACAATCACAGAAAACAAGGTTTGTTCGCTACCTTCATTGTTCAACGTGTTTTCATCACAGCGGCGGAACTTATGCAGAACTTATACGATCTCCAAGGTTTACTTCTACATAATTGATGACATTAGGTCAGACATATTGAAGGAACAGTTTACCGGACATGAAGGCAGATGAAAACTTCTTAGGCAACGCAGGTCATGCCATGTGAGGATTTCATTTATGAATATTCTCTCGTTTTCACACGCATAGAGAGTGACATCTTAGAGCGATTATATCAAGCCTGAATGTAACAACAGCAAACCTGTCACTGAAGGCTGCAGCTTCCCAAGGTGGGCACCTTAAAAATGTAACTTCAAGTGTCATCTTCGAGTGGCTCCGTTCCCCAGTTCTTTTTAATTCAACGCCTAGTTACATGTGTGGGTCATAACCTAGCGAAAGAACATCTAACTTTGGACCAAAATACTGAAAACGTATATATCTACTTACTGTCGCCACAGCGATTAAGTGTCACTCAAATCCCGTATGCTTATGTTATCCTTCCAGTGGTGCCAAAAGTATTAGATTGATTAATCGTGCCGAAGTTGATCGGTCAAAGTAAATATCATTCAGCTGCTGTTGCTTATTTCCGTGCTACGGTTAAACCCAAATGGTATTAGGTGACAGGAATGGCAAGTGCCTTCTATGTTTGCGAATCACTTTTATTTACACACTTGGGTCACTAACCTGGATTTAGCTAGCAAATGAACAAGTCTATAGAGGGCACCGGAAATGCACGCTTTTCCTATACAAAAAAGACACTCGCTAGTCAGCTAGCTAGTTTTCTGTAAAAATAGGCTCCTGCTTTTAATGAACACAATTTCGTCAGTCGTTGTCGCCGAGGGCCACTATCAATTGCCTTCTTGTTCACTTCAGGTCCTACTTCTCCGTACATAATCGGTCGCTCACTTTCCGGGAACGGCGTTTTTTCCTGTTGTTGGCTATCTTCTTCATTGCCGCCCTGCTGACATTCTCTCATATTCACCAAGTAAATTCGACCGATCGTGGTTCCCTTTTCGATCCCCATATGAATCCGGACATTCACCTGGATCGTGAAGCTGCGGCTGCAATAGAGGCTGCCGATGAGCGGAATGAAGTACGGGTTGACAGCTGATATGGTCTTAATACTGATCCTACCTTCTTTACTTCTTTGTCTTTCTTTTGCGTGCATCGCGCATGCACAACGGTTGAATCTGCAGCGACAAGACACCATATTCAATCGTTTATCTATCCTCTCGAACGATTTTTATTCGTATTCCTGCATGTCTTGATCCCTCCAAGTGGGTGTTTGTGATTTGGCCGTTGAAATTTCATTCTTGATGGATTGTGTTTTTGATTTGTCTAATTACGGACTTCTAAATCTTTCTTCACATTCTTGTGTGCGGTCGTTCTACAATGGATCACATAAACGAGTCGCAATGTACCAAAACCATTAAAGTGAATCGCCTAGGGTGCATCCTCGGAACAGGAACAGTAGTGTTTCTTCGAGGGATTAGCGTGTTTCATCTAGAATCAGCAGTTTTCCCACTTGTGCTACACAGAATGACCAGAAATCTTACTGTCCACTTTCGTGGTACGGTTATTGTCGTGGAAGGATAACGTTGGTGACACGTGCAGTGTAATTGTGCGACTCACTGGTTGGCGATACATACAGCTCGCTTTATGGAACCTGTTTGTGAGCGTTGGACAGATGCCATACCTCTTCTTTTCTCCATGTTAGAACAAACCTTTGTGCGACAGCGAAGTCTCGATGCTGTCGGTAATGAATATTACTTTCGGAGGCGTCGAAACGAGCTTCTGTCTTAACGATCTGTGGTATCCGTTAATTCTGACCCCTGGTGGGCTTTTCTTGAGCAATCCAAGGAATTTTGCCTTAGGGCATAACTGACCATCGTGCGGTCCTATCTTGACTTCCTAACTTTTCCTGTGTGAAAATGGGTGACCTGGCCGAATGGAAACGTTTTCAACGCAGATGGTTCTGGTGATGTATGCAAAAGTTATGCAGTGAGTGCAACTGCGAGACCTCCGGACTTCGAAAATTCGTAAGCCTGTTTTCACTACGGGCTTATAATCCTCTAACCGAGTAAATGAACAGTTGTAAACCGAAATGAGTTCGCTTCTCTCCGATTTTAGACCAGATGTTGCAAACGAATTCTCATGACGTGTACAACCAGTTGCTAGTATGCCGCAGTGTATCCGGAAGCTCGTTGACTAAACTTCCAAAAGCGCTATCAGATCCCCACGGAGAGCTAACTGGAGATGACAAGCCGGAGACTCGAAGTGAATGTCGTCGGCGGTAAAATCCCAGAGCTCTGTAATCATGATCAACCTTCGCTTGAGTGGAGAACTCGCTCAATCCTTCGTACGGTAATCCTGCTTGAATCCTTCATTGAGGGCATTGTGCAATCGGTAAATATTCGTTGCGTTCCGTATTGCCTACTTTAAGGTGCAACAGTTTCAAGCTGTGTAATTCAGCAGCATCTGAGACCACGATCACTCCTCCCACTTGAGGGCTTGATGAGTTCCTCGATAAGGAAATGTCCTCCGATCACTTCCGCCCTAGTCCTGAAGGACGTAAAAAAAACCGGCTGGAGATAAATTGAGGATAAAAGCGACCTAGATGCACATGAAGTGGAAATAATATGATACTGGTACAATCGGTGCTTTCCGACCAGCATATTAAATCAATTATGTATTATTGCTGGGTAGGACTGAATCAGACCCCTAGGCTTCTGTAACTGTTGTCATCAAAAGATGAGGTCCATAAGATAGTGAGAAAGAGTTTTCGCCATGTTCAGGATGTTTACTGGTCATTAATCAGTTTGCCTAGATTGGTAGTTCGCCCTTAAATGTTTTCGCCAGTCTTCGAGGCATTACCAGTGACTACACATATGCCGTCTCCTCGATCAGTTACAAGACTTGAGGAGCAGGTCGAAAACCATATCATTAACAGCAAAACTCTCCAGCTGTGGTTCTTGGGCTATGCACTTGCAAATTTCTGAAATTTTCATTAGTTTATTCGGAGTCTAGCTTTACACATGCATCACTAGTTTCTGTGTTCCATGAAGCAGCCTCATCGTTATATCATGCAATTCGTCTGGGCCACGAGACGGTTTAAGAACGCCACCAGGCCAGCATAAGGACGAATGGTTAATGCGCTAACACCTGACTACAACCTACTCACGGCGTCCCAGCGCTTGCGGGATCGGTCTAGTTCCGCATTCACTCCGTAAAGGTGAGCACGACGATCCTGCCAATAAAGTGGTTCGCTAAACCACTAGCGTAGCTTGTTATGGTGAGTAATCGATAACGATTTCGTGAGGTTAGGCGCGACGAGTGTACTCGGACCGGAGGCATGTGCCCGTGCACATATCTGTTGTGAGATATCTGACACCTGCATTGGCTGTTCGGAATCCCTACTGCGCCTCACCCTTTAACAGGTCTCCGCGTGTGTTGACGTGTCATTAGCAGGTGAGAAACTCTGAGATGATAATTCTATGATATTTTTCTGCAATATGCACTCCTTTGGACGCATCCAAATCGTTTATCCGCAGCACTATTCTACGCACTAAATTCCAGTATAGCACCAGTTATACCACTGGTCCGCCAGTAGGTGAATTACCAGTATCCATTGATCCATGGTACATGCCCGCGTGGGAAACGCTCCGGTGTTTATTTTTTGTGGGTTAAAGACTTCAGCGCACAAATTTCATGGAGTGTCGTCAAGAGCCCGTTCTCCTCCGTCCGAAAGACAATTGCTATTAAGTCATACGAATGGGCGCACTTTTGGTATTTTTCCGTAATATTTCGGATGGTGCGAACGAAAAGCCTCACTGTATGAGTGAGATCGAGTGCGGGTTTCATTCAGCAGTTTGAGGAATTTGATGATAACCTGCACGTAATCCGCCTGGGACCTCCATGCATTTCTGGGATAAGAATCTACAGAATCTACTCATTCGGGTCACACTGGCCAGGTAAGAATAGTTGGCATGAAGGAAACTACCCATAGCGCCGCTGAAAACTCCTCGACAGCACACGACCGGTTTCGCCCTTCTTGGGGTTCATCATGTAAGCACAGTCCCCGAGTTTCCGTCAACCGTATGTCCTGCTTGGGCAGATTTCGCCATATGCACTTAATGGGATATCAGTTTGGTCTTCACGAGAGACTCAACTGAATGTGATGCTTAAAGGCCGCCTCAGTTGATACCATATTCGAGATGTCGCAGTATATTTTCATAAAGGATCCAGCTAAGTCTCCCGTGAAAACCAAATTGAATTACAAATGAGTGCAGTTGTTGGAAAAACATACTTCTCCCGAAAATTCTAGGGTTAAAGGGACGTGACGTTCCAGGGACCGAATGCGGCCTTCCTGTCAGGCGAAAACGGAAGGGCTGGTCAGACTACAACAGTGAAATGCAAACTATTCCGCACCGTACGCGCAGCCCTTAGAGTTATGCTGACTCCAAACACACGAGAATTAGGCATAGCATCGTCACAATCATCATTGTTAGTTCTAAGAGCCGCTCACTTATCCTATAGTGGTTGAATTTGCCACAGTTTCGCTCACCGGTGACCTGGGGAGGTGGGGTAAGTAGCTCCATATTGGAGCCGTGAGCTGATAAATTAGTGCGTAAGTACAGCACTGTCAGTGGGCTATTAATTGGGAGGATTGGGAAGGGAGCTATGCACGGGAGCTACAGCTCGGATGCATGACCACCATTGACCGGTCATTGTCTGACAATTTCTCTAACCATTGATATGGCTTGTCTCGGGGTCCCCATCCGGGAAGACGGCAATGACCAGCGCAGCTGAGTTTGCTGGTAATGGCTTTCACACTTCGCTGCCAAGTCATTGTTTGGCCGCCTCTGGCTCTCTTCCACCCTTCACATGGTTGGGCGAAAAGAGCCCTTCGAGGAAGTCGGTCGACTGGCATACGCAGCACGTGGCCAAGCCAGCGCAACCTATGCAGTGCAATCAGTTCATCTATCGAGGGTGAGTTACTTCTCCCGAATACCATTCGAGGAACTTCAGCATTGCTGATCCGGTGTTCCCACCAAATTCGGACAATGCTCCGAAGATATCGATCGTCAAACACTTAGTCTTCTGACGTCCTCGGCGCGCAGCGGCCAGGTTTCTGATCCATATAGTAATATGGAGCGCATCGCAGCATTGCAAACTAGACCCTTGACAGAAAAGCTTATGTCACGCCTATGTCACAGGTGACGTAGGTTCGCAATAGCTGCTCTGGCCTTCCCAATACGGATGGAAATATCATCTTTCGCGAGACCACCGAGACTGATAAAGCTGCCCAAATTTGTCTAAAACCTCAATCGGCTCATCCGCAAGCATGAGGGTGGTATTCGAATCCACCCAGTCTTGCAGTAGCACCTTACACTTTGCAGGTGTGAAGCGCATACCAAACCGTGAGGCAGGATTATTTAGATTATTAGATATTGTTTGCATTACCACGGGGTCAGATCTAAGAAGAGCTATGTCGTCATCGTACTCGATATCTGTGAGTGGACGCCCCGGCAGCACTTCGACCCCACAGACATTAGAGGCTGGTAGTGAGTCTTCCATGGTCGCATCAATGACGAAGTTGAAGAGGAAGGGCGAAAGAGGACAACCCTGTCTGAAAAGAGGACAACCCTGTCTGACGCCACTTGATGTGGTAAACTCAGGCGAGAGCTTTCCGTAGACCTGCACACGGCTGCAGGAGATGGCGTACAGCTCCTTAAGGAGGGTCAAGAATTCATGGGGGACAGCTTTGCTCCACAGACACTGCCATAGTGTCTGACGGTCCACAGAGTCAAAGGCAGCTTTCAGATCAAGAAACAAGCATTGCTC